GTAAGTCAAATTTGGAAGACTTGCTGGCTTTTTAAGAGAATGAATTGTATGAAATGTGAATTATTCTCTTCATCTAGGTACAGCCTGATCTTTTCACAGTTGTGTCTTTCTAGCTTTGCCCACATTCCAATTTGTAGAAGTGAAAGTACAGATGATATATTAGGACTCATTTGAGTGGCCAGAGATCTCCATGCCTCTCAACTGCCATGGCCATCTGTGTTCTGCATTACTAGCAATTTCTACTACTTAGAAGTGTTTTCTTTTGGTTTTTAAAAAATATTTATTTTAGCCAGGTGTGGTTGGTGGCACACACCTTTAATCCCAGCACTCTGGAGGCAGAGGCAGGGGGATCTCTGTGAGTTCAAGGCTAGCCTGGTCTACATAGTGAGTTCCAGGACAGCTGGGCTACAGAGAGACCCTATCTCAAAAAGACAAAAAAAAATATTTTTATTATTTAAGTAATTATGTGTCTGAGCAAATGTCACATGTGTAGGTGCCTTTGGAGGTCAGAAGAGAATGTTGGATCGTTGGATCCTTGGGAGCTGGAGTTACAGACTTTTATGACATGGGTGTGTGAGTTCAATTTAGGTCCTCTAGAAAAGCAGCAAGCACTTTTAAATGCTGATCCATCTCTCTAGCCCTAAAATTTTTTTGTTGGTGTTTATTTGTTTCTCAATCATATAGTGGCTTGTGCAGTACCCAGTGTTCAACCCTGGTTCCACTTATCACCCAGGGAGTTTTGTAGATGCCTCCCTCACCCACTTCCCTAGAATTCTGATCTAATTGATAAGACATACACACCCCCACTGGGGTCCTGGCTACTAATATGGTACTTTCCAAACCTAGTCTGTCAGCTAGGATGGCCTACAGATGTTTTCAGAACACATAATCCATAATTCAGTATGTCTTTGATTGTGTTTAGAAATTGCAACTTTTCCAAAATTCTCCTGATCAGTTTAGTTTCATATTGTGATCAGTTTAGTTTCATATTGTTTGCCTTAGTTTTTAAGAAAATGAGTCAGTATTTGGGAAGCTGAGGCAGGAGGATTCCCAGTTCCAGGTCAGCTTTGCTATATAATAAAACCCTGTTTGAGAAAAGAGCAAGAAAGTAGGCCAGGGGTTGGGGGGGAGGGGAAGAAGGCTATAGAAATGTCTTTTTTAGTCTTAGAAAGTGCAGCAAACTGGGCCTGGTGGTGCATGCCTTTAATCCCAGTCCTTGGGAGACAGAGACACACTGATCTCTGTGAGTTCAAGGCCAGCCTGATCGTCGACATAGCTAGCTCCCAGTCAGGCAGGGACGGCTACATAGTGAAACTCTCTCTCTCTCTCTCTCTCTCTCTCTCTCTCTCTCTCTCTCTCTCTCTCACACACACACACACACACACACAATGAAAGCAACTGAGAAAGTGCTGTGGATATTGTGTGTTGGGGACATAAACATCAAGCATTAAAATAACCATAGCATAGGTGAACTGTGATATCACAGTTTCAGTGAGTAGGAAAACATATTTCAATTACTGGGCAGAGATGGTACAAGAATGTCAGGGAAGGGCATCCATGACATGATGAATTAACAGCACAAAATGATGTGATAGAAAAAGTGGCATTATGAAAGCTAGCATGATTCTCAGAAGGAATTCTGGGAAGGTTGTCCATGTTCAGAAGTGCCTTGAATGCTGAGCTCAATTGTGTCCACTTAGTAGACAAGAAGGACCAAAGGGGAAAGCGTTATCAGAAAACCGTGCCTTAGGAAGATGAAGCAAGGCAACACAGTGTAAGCAGGAAACAGAATGTTAATCTGTAGAGTTTTGCCGCAATATATGTGAAACTGTGGGCACTTAGAGAATGGACTGAATTGAGGGTACTCTCTCCCTGAGAGTCTGCATCAAGCCTAGCATAGCACACTCTCTTGAAATGTTAAATTGCTGAGTATCAAGTTTCCTACCTGGATAAAAAGGAATGTGCCAGGCATGGTGCCTTGCACATCCCAGTACTCAGGAGGCTGAGGCAGGAGGACTACTGTGAATTTAAGGCTATCCTAGCATACAAAGTAGCACTCTATATTGAAAAGGAAGGGAGGGAGAGGGAGGGAGGGAGGGACAGAGGGAGGGACGGAGATATGGTGGTATCATTTATAGAAACCAGAAGGAAGAACTGATTGGGGTAACTGATTGGCTTTAAATATTAAGTTCTGCCTGTTCTTGTATTGGTCACTATGTATATAAGGATTTTCTTTGTTCAGTAAATGTTTAAGCCATTAAGATAGGAAAGTCATTTACAAAGGTTTTATTATTCTCTAATTTTTTATTATAAAATTACAAATTTCTTGTTGTTGTGGCACAGGTGGGAACAAGAGCCCAATCAGAGAGAATTCGGACATATAATTTCACACAGGATAGAGTCACTGACCACAGGATAGCATATGAAGTTCGTGACATTAAGGTAATATTACTGACTATGCTTCATGTACCTTTATTAGAAAATATAATCAGGGGCTGGAGAGATGACTCAGCAGTTAAGACTGAGTCCTGTTCTTTCAGAGGACCAGAATTTGATTCCCAGCAACCATATCAGGAGGCTCATAACTGCCATAATGCCAGCTCCAGGGGTATCTTACACCCTTTTCTGGCCTCCATTGGTACCTGGACTTACATGCATATACCCACATATAGACATACACACACACACACACACACACACACACACACACACACACACACACAAATGATTAAAAGTAAAAATAAATATTTTTTTAAAGTATAATCACATTCTAGAGAGTTATATCTGAAATACTACCAAGTAATTTAAAATCATTAAGCCAGCTCTCCTTTTAAATTCCAAATTCTGGGCCAGTGAGATGGCTCAGTGCTGTGAAACCTGATGACCTGAGTTGGAGCTCCAGGCCCCACATGATGGAAGGCAAGAACTAAATCATGAAAGTTGTCCTCTGACCACCATACATGTGCGGCACGTGTGGCACATGTGTGTCCAAATACATACACAAACAGACATTGAATAAATTTACCATTTCTGAGGCTGAAGAGATGGCTCAGCAGTTAAGAGCACTGGCTGCTCTTGCAGAGGACCTGGTTTCAGTTCCCAGCACCACGTGGCAGCTGACAACCATCTGTAACTCCAGTTCCAGGGGATCAAATGCCCTCTTCTGACCTCTGTGGACATTCCATGCAAGTGGTAGGCTTTCATACTTTCTCATACACATAACATTTTTTGTAATTTAAAAAAAAAGAGGTCAAGTTTCAGTTAGACATGAGGAATAATAAGCATTAGTGATCTAATACACAGAATGGTGACTCTAACAAATGATACATTATGTATCAAGATTGTCAAAAGTGTACCTTTTAAGTCTTTTAACCACAAAAACAATGATAAATTTGTGAACTGATATGTTAGTCTGATTTATTTCCATTATAAATGTATTGAAACATCATTGTACTCCATATATACATTTATTAATTAAAAATAAAATTTAAAGTGTGATACACATGTATGAAAATGTCATAATGAAACTCACTGTATATGCTAACTAGAGAGGGAAAGACTAACTCTATCTTGAAACAAATTAAATTTTTTAATGTTTTATTATTTTTATTTTTATGTGTATGAGTGTATTGCATGCATGTATGTAAATGCACCTATGTTATGCACTTACATACATGGATCCCCATGGAACTGGAGTTACAGTTGGTTGGATCCCCCTGGACCTGGAGTTACAGATGGTTGTTAGCTGCCATATCGGTGCTGAGAATTGAACCCTGGTCCTCTGTAAGAGTAGTCAGTGGTCTTAACCACTGACCCATCTTTCCAGACCCTTTAAATTTTTTTAAAAATCTGGCCAGGCATGGTGGCCAGCACCTGGGAGGCTGAGGCAGGAGACTAACCACAAGTTTGAATGCAGCCTGATCTCTATAGTGACTTCTAAGTGAACTAAGGCTTCATAGCAAGGCTTTGTCACAGAAAGCAAATAGCACCTCTCTGCTGCCTCCACATGTACAGGAAAGAAAGACAGCAAGGAGAGGTGCGAGAGTGACTTAGGAATGATGACAGGTGAGGGGGAAAGGATCTGAGCTTCAGGGCAGCAGGTGTTGGACAGAATAAAGGAGTGGACAGAAGAAAGTAAACATCTAGGGACATATTGCCCTGCTTTCTTCCCATCTTCCTACTCCATCCACATAGTTTCTGATGAAACAGCTGTGCCTGGGTATGATCATAACCCTGGATAATACTTGATTTGTTTGGCTTAGGCAGCTCAACAAGCCCCAGCCAATGAGTGTGCCTGACCAAGATTTTTATTTTTTATTTATTCATTATTTTATGTGTATGAGTGTATTGCCTGAGTGTATGTAAGTGCACCCATGTCGTACAATGCCCAGGGAAGTTAGAGGAGGATGTCAGATCCCCTAGAACTGGCATTATGGATGGTTGTTAGTCACCATGTAGGTGCTGGGAACTGAACCTAGGTCCCCTGCAAGAGCAGCCAGTGCTCTTATCTGTTGAGCCATCTCTCCAGCCCTCACGAGGATTTTTTAAACTGGAACTAAAGAGAGTTATGCTTTCTCTTGGTGGCTAAACCTGAAATAGAATGCTTAGAAGAGGTCAGAAGGCACATTTCCAGACTCAGAGAGAAAATGATCCTCAGTAAAAGAAGAATGACGCTGATAAGCCAAGAAAAACAAAAAATGAGAATTTATTTATTCCTGAATCCCAGTCTCATTCCCAGAGAAGCAGCAAGCCTGGATTTCCCCATGTTTAGGTTCTGGGAGACTACTTCATCTTCTTAGTGCTCTTTCCTGGTGACTTTCTCTTTTGCCTTCCGTCTCCCAAGTAGCTGAGATTATAGACATATGTCACCATGCTCAGCTTATTTTTGTCGAGTTATTTTTTTTTATCTAGTGCAGACTAACATGTAATTTATAGTTTCACATTTTTACTCTTTCTTTTCTTTTATTAAGACTAGGTTTCCCTGTAACCTCAGCTGTTTTGTTTTTTGTTTGAGGAGTCAGGGTCTCATTATGTAGCCCTGGCTAACCTGGAACTCACTAAGTAGGCCAGGCTGGCCTTGATAATCAGTCTTACTCCTTGCTCTGTATTCCAGTTACTTTTTTGTTTGTTTTTTGAGATAGGATCTCACATAATATCCCTGGCTGGCCTGGAACTCACAGAGATCCACTTGCCTCTGCCTACCAAGTGCTGGGATCAGAAGCATGCACCTCCATCCCCTTGCCCTGAGCTTTAAATGTACTCCGTTTCTCTGCTTCTCTTCACATTCATTCATTTGGTTGAATGCCCTTCTCTACCAGGGGAAATACTGAAATACTCTTTTAAAGATCTAGTTAAAATGTTTTCTTGTTCTCTTCGTTTCTTCCTTCCTTTCTCTTCTGACACCTTCCTGTTGAATTAACAACTCCTTTTAGCCCTCACCCGTTTTGTTTGTTTGTTTGTTTGTTTGTTTGGTTGGTTTGTTGTTTGTTTGTTTTTTTTTTTTTTTTTGGTCTTTTTGAGGCAGGGTCTCCCTGTAGCCCCAGCTGTCCTAGAACTCACTATGTAGACCAGACTGGCCTTGAACTCACAGAGATCCACCTGCCTCTGTGTTTTTTTAAATTTATTCTTATTTTTTGTGTAGGAGGAGTGTTTTGCCTGCCTAGATGCCAGAAGAGGATGTAGGAGCCCCCAGAACTGGAGTTTCAGATATTGTTGACTGCCATGTGGGTGCTGGGAACCTAACCTAGGTCCTCTGCAAGTGTAGACAGTGCTCTTAACCACTGAGCCATCCCTCCAGCCCCCACCTTCTTTGTTTTTCAACTAGTGCATTATTTAGAGATGCTGAATTACTTGTCTAGCTCTTGCACTAAATTGTTAGCTTCTGAGAGTTAGGAACTAGAAATCTTTTTTTATTTTTTGATCTTTTTTTGAGACAGGGTCTCTCTGTAGCCCCAGCTGTCCTGGAACTCTCTATGTAGATCAGCCTGGCCTTGAACTCACAGAGATCCGCCTGCCTCTGCCTCCCGAGTGCTGGGATTAAAGGCATGCACCACCACGCCCATCTTAGAAATCATTTTTTATCCTATAAACAATAGCACTCTGGTTGTTCCAAATGAACTCTAAATGTATTGTGATTATCAGTAAAAATGGTCTATCTTTTACATCAGTTCCAAAAATGAAATCCCCTTGGCAATACCATAATAATTAGAGCTCTGGGTACATTAATATTTATAGGCAATTACATAGTATTCTGAAAGTAGTATGAATCTTAATTTTAAGATTACATTGTAAACCAGGCATGGCACATTCCTTTAATCCCAGGGCTAGAGAGGCAGAGGCAGGTGTTATCTCCATGAGATCAAGGGCAGCCTGGTCTACAGAGGGAATTTCAGGCCAGCTGGGGCTTCAGAGAGACCCTGTCTTAAAAAACAAAAAACAAACATATGAAAACCCCAAAATATTAAGACACCCTTTCCCTTAGAGTTTAACTCAAGAGAAAAATGTGTATACTTCCCTAACATTCAACTTCAAGGCTACTTAAGACTAAATATAAGCATATCACAATTTTCAGTGTTCTGCGTTCCAGATGCCAACTGTAACATATGCTCACTAAGCCAAAGTCTAAATTTTGAGTATTTCTAAAATAGGAGAATGTGTAAGTTCACTGATTCCCCACATCTAGTATATAAAACTTCAAATACACAGGAAAGCTACTTGAAGTCATCATTTTAGTCAGTTTGCAGAGAGGAACTGTAGAGAAGATGACAGGGAAAGCCAAACAAAACAGTTTTCATTATTTGGGGGAAAATAAGAGAATTGTTTTCTCTCAGCTTTACTTTTGAAATTGTCCAGGCATATACATAAAATGTTTGAAGACTAGTTCAATGAATACTGCACCCCTAGATCTATCTCTTGAACAACTGTCAACATTTTGCTGTATTTGTCTTCTATTTATCTCCTAACTTCCCCTTCTCTCTATGTACCTATTTGACTTTTGAACCTGTTAAACTTGTGCTGAGTGAAGTGGCACATGCCCTTAATTCTAGTACTTGGGAAGCAGAGGCACACAGATCTCCATGAGTTGAAGCCCAGCCTGGCCTACATAGTGAGTTCCAGAACAGCCAGGACTACATAATGAGACCCTGACTCCTAAAACAAAAAAACAACCAAAAAGCAAGCTGTTCAGAAGTTCAAGGTCATCCTTAGCTACATAAGGAGTTTGAGGCCAGCCTGGGCTAAAGACCTGTCAAGAAAGAAAGAGAGAAAGAAACGGATTGGGGGAGGGGGATAAGAAGGAAAGAAAGAAAAGAAAATACAAGTTGTAAAATTGTAAACTTAACCTCTAAAAATTACAACAAAAATATTTTTCAGTTCCATGAGACTTCTAGCTTGTGTGTGTGCAGGTGCATGTTAAGGCCAGGGCTCACCTTCAAGTGTCATTCCTCAGATGTCATTTAAAACCTTGTTTGTTGAGACAGAGTCTCTCCCTGGCTCAGAACTCACAAATTAATGCTGCTGACCAGTGAACCACAGGGATTTGCCTTTCTCTGCTTCCTCAACACTAGGAATACAAGCACATGTCAACATGACTAGATTTTTTTTTTTTTTTTTTTGAGACAGGTCCTCCCTGTAGCCCCAGGTGGCCTGGAACTCACTATGTGGACCAGCCTGGCCACAGTCTCACAGAGATCCACCTGCCTCTCCCTCCTGAGCACTGAGATTAAAGGCACGCACCACTATGCCCTGCCTCTGGATTTTTGTGTGTGCACATGTGTACATGTATGTATGCATGTCTGTGGAGGCCAGAGGTCAATGTGAGGTATCTTCTGCTCTCATTTTCTACCTTATTTTTTGAGACAGGATCTCTTCACCTCACCAGTTGACTAAACTGCCTGGCCAGTGAGTTTTGGGGATCTGCTTGTCTCTACCCACACCCCCAGAGCTCGGGTTACAGAACATATACCACTGTGCCTTTTCTTTTTGCCTTTTTGAGACAGGGTCTCCCTGTAGCCCCAGCCAGCTTTGAACTCACTATATAGACCAGGCTGGCCTTGAACTTATAGAGATCCACCTGCCTCTGCCTCCCAAGTGCTGGGATTAAAGGTCTGTGCCACCATGCCCAGCCTTTTTTTTTTTTTAATGTGGCTGCCAAGGGGCCAAACTTAGATCCTCATGTTTGCATGGCTATCTCCCTAGCTCCTATATTTCCAATTTTAGGAAAAGTTGGTACTTGTGGCATGGTGTAGCTCAGTGGCAGAGTTCTTTCTTAGCATGTTCAAGGTCCTGGGCTGAATTCCTAGCAAGAACTTATCATAAACCACTTGTGAATTAAATAATCTCAATTTGGAAGGTTGACATAAGAGCTGGGAGGTAGGGGATATACCTCCCGAAGTGGCTCAGTGGTTAAGAATACTTGATGCCAAGTATTGCTTTCCAGCATCCAAATAAGGCAACCCACAACCTCCTGCAATTCAAGTTACAAGTGATTCAATGTCCTCTTCTTGCCTTTCGGGCACCAGGCATGCACATGGTGCATATACATACATGCAGACACTCACATATACACATAGACATATTTTAAAAATTAACTAATGTTTATGAAAGGGCGAGAAAGGGGGACACTTTCTTTGAGCCTCATACAGAGGATTTGGCAGGGAGCAGCCCACACTAATATGGTCACAAACACTTGCAGAACTGAGGCATTTCAGTCATTTTTGCCATTATGAAATAATGTGCTAAGAGCAAAAAGGATTGATTTTTCAGGATATTGGTTGGCACACTATCTTTTAGAGGAAATGTTTGGGTTTAGTGAAGTCTTTCTGTTAAAAAAAAAAAACTTTTAGTCTTCTAAAATATGGCTTTCTATTCTGATAGTGCGCCAACCAAGAATGGGAACATAAAAACTAAGCAAAAGGTTTTCAAAGACAGGCAGTTGGTCTCTTTGTTCTGTTGTCACCAGAGACATCAGAAAGATCCAGATCTCAGAAGACTGATTTCAAAATAAAATGCTAATTTAATCCATTTAAGAAAGTAGAATTCTGTTTGCTCCTTTAGATTAACTTTTTACCTCAAAACAACTAAACAAACCCACTAAAATCTATGGGCTCTCCATGTTAGCAACAATGTCACCATATTGCAGAACATCAATAAGTCTTTGCTGCTACTGAATGACTCTAAGGAAATATGCACTTAATTCTTAGCTCTTTCCTCTTTATTTTTATTAGACAGCTTTCCATTAATGTAACAAATATCTAAGAAAATTGGCTTAAAAGAGAGACTTTTTTGTCTCACAGTTTTAGAGGTTTCAGTTCATGACTATCTGACCCCATTTGGGGGGTGAGGAGACCTGTGACACAGTACATCATGACAAAAACAGGTAGCAGAGAAAGCCATTTGCTTCATGGCCTGGAAGTAAAAAAAAGAGGTATTGGCATCTTTCTCATTCAGGGGCACACCCCACAGGGACCGAAACCTTCCATTAGGACCCACCTCATCCATATTTCTACCACTTAACAATAGCACCAAGCTGAGAGGCCCAGCATTTTACCACATAGGCCTTTGGAGGATCCTCTAGGTACAAACTATATCATGAGGTTTCATGATACCTCTCTTTTGTATCAGGAATTTCTATGTGGCGAGAAGTGTCTGGATCAGCTAATTCAGAGACTGCTTCAATCAGCAGATGAAGAGGCCATTGCTGAATTTCTGGATGAAAACTTCAAATCAGTAAAATAAATGCTCCTTTATTATTATGTAAACAGAATGGACTTTTATCAAGAAACAGGTGTGGAAATTTATGAATATTTATAAAGTACAGCTGTAAGTACAGAGTATTTGTAGAAATATTTTTTAATGAATAAAAGTCATATTTCTTTACTTACAGGCTTATTTTATCTTTCAATAAATAACCGAGCTTTCCAAGTAGAAAATAAGTTTGTGATATCAGAAAGAGAAAGAAAACACTGAGCATTGATTAAGAGTTTAGGGTATGAGTCACTCAATAATTACATCTCTTCCATACAGATTAAAGGTCTACAGAATGAATTCTATGATGTATAAACTACAGGTCAATAGTTTTTAAAATATTTTATTATTTTTACTTCTTTTATGTGTCTGAGTGTATTTTTTAAAATATTTTATTATTTTTACTTCTTTTATGTGTCTGAGTGTATTGCCTGCATGTATGTAAGTGCACCCATGTCATATAATGCCTATGGAGGTCAGAAGAGGGTATCAGATCCCCTGGAACTACAGTTATAGATGGTTGTTAGCTGCCATGTGGGTGCTGGGAATCAAACCCAGATCCTCTGCAAGAGCAGTCGGTCATTTCTTGTTCTTTGGTTTAACTTAATAAGCACTGCCGGATGTGCTATGACTATTTCATTGAGTTTGATGTGGTGATACATAACACTCAATCCTTGCCTCATGTGGCACCTACCTCTCAGCAACTGGAAAAGCAGGACTGGAGGATCACAAGCTGGTCTGGTCACAAAGACCCTGTCTCAAAAGCAAAACAACATGATGTGTTTATCAGTTGTTCTGAGGCTGGAGAGATGGCTCAGTGGATAAGAGCACTGGCTGAGGACTTGAAGACCCAGGTTCGAATCCCAGTAGCCACATGGCGGCTAATAATGGTCTGTAACTCCAGTTCTAGGAGATTAGATGCCCTTTTCTGTCCTCCATGGGCAATGCATGACACAGGTACACTTACACATATGTGGGCAAAACAGTCATACATATAAATTTTTTTAATTTAAAAAAAAGGCTCAGGCTCACAACCAAAAAGACAGTAGTTTTTCTGAATGAGTTTCTTGAAATTAGACAGGGTATTATTTTACACATTTCTCAGAGAGAAATTTGCATCAAGATAGACCATCAAAAATCAAGTTTTTAAGACAAATGAAGTTATTTGGGGGAAAGATGAGAAAGTTTTTATTTCAAAAAATTCAAGCATACAGGAAAGGGTTTTCTTTAAGATTTATTTTAAATTATGTGTATGTTTGCATGTAAGTTCAGGTACCCTTAGAGACCAGAAGAGTGTTGGATATCCTGGAGCTGCGTATGGGTGCCAGAAAATGAACTCTAGTCCTCTGCAAGAACAGCGCGTGCTCCTGACTGCCCAGCCATCTCTCCAGCTCCCAGATAATTTTAAAAATAATTTGGGGGACTGAAGAGATGGCTCAGCAGTTAAAAGCTCTGACTGAGCCATTTTTCCAGCCCCCCAATATATCTTTTAAAGCTGTTTGGTTTGGGTTCTCTTTCCCCTCTCTGACTCTACTGAGTCCCCATATATCCCCCCTCTAATCTGTCTTTAAAATGCCCAAATTACTTCTGCACAAAAGCAAATGGAGCTCTTTTCCCTGATGTCAGTAGTTACTTTTCACCTCTTTAACATCCAGTTGTATTCAATAACATCCAGTTCATTCAATAACAGTAACTGTGCATAGCATATTCTTCTTAATAATTAGTATGTCTATGGAGTAACACTGGCATTATATAAGCATTCCTTCCTTACTGTGATAAGCATCTTCTGAGAGGACTCCATTGCTGGTATTCTTGTGTAAACCCTCCCCTTCGAGGGTAAACTAGGCTTGATAACTTCCAAGTGTACTACAACCGAAGGGATGGGATTGTTAAAAAGATTTGTGTCAGGACTTCCTCTGCTGTTACCATCTTAATTTGAGCAGCAGCCTACCTGCAGGAGGCTCTTAAGATCAGGACCATGGACATGCCCTCCTAGAAGGACCAGGTTGAGGAAGGTCATTAGACCTCACCTGAGAGTCCAGCCACTCCCTCTCTCTTGCACTCCCTTGAAACTGTTATACCATTCTGCCCAGATGGTCACCAGTGCCTGAGTATGTAGGAGGTGGAAGATTAACTGAAGCAGGGGGTTCCTGCTATACAGCTTTTGGGGGTGAGACTTTGTGGTAGTGCAGCTATTTGGGGTCACCCATGCCTCTATAAATAAAACTAATAAGCTCATTGATTCACTAAGCTAGATCTGGGTGGGATGCTTCTTTGGTCTGATGTTGGTGCTCGATCTACAGTGAACAGAACTTTGTTCACTTCTCTCCAAGAAAAATTGATTCTCATTTGTTTTGGTGGAAGTCAGATGAACATTGTAAGTGACCCTAATGGAATGGCCTAAACAGTACTATGGAAAATCTAATTCCCCTGGTCAGATAGCCTCAGAGAACAGAAGCCTGACAACCTCTGCTCACTGCGAGGTTGGAAGTCAATCATTCAGCTGTAGTCATGCTTTATGGCATGAGTTGCCCCAAACTGGGGCCCAGGCTGATGGTTTGTAACAACCTCAGAGGAGGCCTTGATCTGGAGGCAACCTACTAAAGCTGCCCCAGCTTACCTAAACTCTGAAACTGAATTGATGCTCATTTTAAGCAGCTAATCACTGGTGTCATTTATTATGCCACGATAGTCAGCTTATTTTTCCAGTGACCTTTCATCCATTCTAATGAATTTAGCATACTTGTATCAGTTATTACAATGGGAATGATAAAATGCAGATGTCCTCATTCCTTACTTGTCAGCATTGTTCTTAAAAAGGATTCTTTATTTCTTGAGTGGAGAGGGAAATCTAATCCCATTTGAAATGATGTCATCACTGTTCCCTCCTTCCAAATAATTGATGTCTCTGGAGAATTTGATTTAATGCAAGAGAATACTGAATGTAGTGGAGTTAAAGTGTAAAGTCAGAAACACAGAAAGTAGATATTGTTTGAAGGAAAGTGAAGAAAGCTTTATTTGTATGTCAACTTTGAGACCATATATCATTTAAAACTTTTTTTCCATTTAGAAAACACTAAACACATTGAACCCCCAAAAATTATTCATGTAAAAATGTTTTTCACTGAGAGAAGTTGTAAGAGGGAAAGAGAAAAGAGTATTGATGTGTTACCTTCCATTCATGTAATAATCAGTCTATCATTCTCTGCATGCCAACGAGAAAAGTCTACAAGAGGGAGAGGGGAAAGCACAATTCATTTAATCAGCCAATGTAAAGGACCTCTCTAAATGTGTCCAGGTACAGAGCTCAACCACACTGTATTCTTCCCTCCCCCAGATCTGGTTTTTCCTTAAAACACACAATTTATCTGGGTACAAAACGAGTCACAACTGTTAAACTGTGGAGCTATGAGCCTAGGAAAATCTGTATATCTCTCTCACCTTTATATACATACTGTGAACTGAAGTTCCCGGACAAAGACACACTTGTGATGAAGACTCTGCAGACTGATTAACTGATTAGAACTTAATGATTCTAATCTACCTATTTAGAACTCTTCTGTAGAGGTTTAGATGCTGCAGATGAAGAGTCAAAACTATCTTGGACTGCCTTTAGTTCCTTGAATAGCCATTTACTACCTCCTCTGCATCTAACCCAGGACAGCTGTGGCTACAGAGAGACCTTGTCTCAAAAAGACCAAAAAAAAAAAAAAAAAAGAGAAAAAAATCTTGGCTTCCAAGTTAACATTTCTTTTTTTTTTTTTTTTCTTTTGGTCTTTTTGAGACAGGGTCTCCCAGTAGCCCCAGCTGGCCTGGAACTCACTATGTAGACCAGGCTGGCCTCGAACTCACAAAGATCCACCTGCCTCTGCCTCCCAAGTGCTGGGATTAAAGGCATGCCCCACCATGCCTGGCTAAGATTCTTCTTAAAACATTTGGAAGGATGAAGAGATGGTTCAGTAGTTATGAGCACTGGCTACTCTTGTACAGGACCTGAGTTCAGTTCCCAACACCCACATGGAGGCTAACAACCATCCCTAATTCCAGTTCCAGGGAAACTGACACCCTCTTCGGGCCTCCAAGGGCATTGTACAATACAGGTACAGTTACATACATGCAGGCAAGACACTCATACACAGAAAATAAAAATAATCTGGAAAGCTAGTGTATTGCTTCACATGTACAATACCTTTAGTCTATCAACTAATAAGCTTTACTTCTAAAATATCTTTGGGGACCAGTGAGTTGGCTCAGCAGGTAAAGGTACTTGCTGCCAAGCCTGATAACCTAAGTTCAATGACAAAGCCCACTTGGTGGAAGAAGAGGCTTGATTCCTGCAAGGTGTCCTCTGGCTTCCACGTGTGCCATGGCACAAGTGCATGCCTGAACACACACACACACACTCTAAATAAATCAATATATTTGGCTTAAAAAAATATATTTTATAATGAATCAGGTGACTTAGGATTAACTAACTACTACTGACAGTGAAAAATTAAAAGGAATTATTTTATAAAGTTTCTCCCATTCATGTTGCAGCAGTAAGTAAGCACTCACCTTGGGATTGGGGTAGTATAGCTTCTAGAATGATGGTAATGTTCTAGGTTTCATTTAGTGATAATTTGTCACTTTTACAATTGCATTTTGGCTCCTTTTCTATGTGTCTGGCTAAATCTACACGTCAAACTTTTTTGGTAATTTTTTTTTTTTTTTTTTTTTTTTTTTTTTAAGACAGGATCTCTCTCTGTCACCCTGGCTGGCTTGGAACTCATTATATAAACCAGGCTGACTTCAAATTTGCAGGTATCCACCTGCCTTCCATCCCAAGGGAGGGGATTACAGGTGTGAGCCATGATGCCCACCTGAATACAATTACAATTTTTAAAAGTCCATGATGGGTGCAAAACAAGTTAGTGGCTACTAAATATTTGCAATAGCAGGCACGCCTGCAGGTAGCTCATTCACCAGCCACCTTCCAACTGAGGGCAAGTAGGCTCATTGAAACTCTCATGGCAGTTACTAACTGAAGGCAATGTAAAATCATTTTGAATATAAAAGTAGCTGTCTAAAAATCAGAGTAAAAACAATAGTAATAGCCAGGCATGGTGGTGCATGCCTTTAATCCCAGCAATCGGGAGGCAGAGGCAGGTGGATCTCTGTGAG